CAGTATGTGCAGCGCGCGCGCGCACAGTATGTGCAGCGCCAGGTTGCCGTGACACTGATAACTGAAAGTACTGCCATACTTAACATAGAAGCTTACATAACAATGAATGTTCTGCACAGATGAATGTAGCACAATACCTGAATCAACAACTGGCCAACTGCATTTAAAGAAAGAAAAACTGCAACAGCAGATTACAAAGCTAGGCCAAAAGAAACTAGCAACAAGAAATCTCCTGATGCATGCTCAATAATCCAGGTACAGCAACAAGAAGCTTCCTAAAAATGTAGTAGAGTCGAAAGTACAATACAGTAGTCCCTCGTTTATCGTTTTATATTTAAAATATTTTAGTATTTAAATTTAAAATGTAGAGAAGTGCAGCAGGACATCAAAGGTAGGGATGGGGCCAATCCGATCCAGTATCGGTATCGGGCTTCGATACCAGCATAATTTATGTATCTGATTTTTCCGATCCAAACTGCAGAGATTTCTGATCCATGATGCATGTCTGTCTCCAAGTAAAACGTCTCCACATGTGATTCCCTGCCAGCTGCTCTGCACGTTGGCTTCAAACTATGGAATGGATTTCCTGAACGAAGGCGTGATTCATGAAGCCCAGAGTAATAAGACCCACCTCATTTTCAGGAAATCCGTGTCATAGTTTGCAGCCAGCTAAAACGTGAGCAGAGCAGCACTGTGGCTAACGGCTAACCAACTTTTCATCGAAACATGTCTGCTGTGTGAAAGTATTTTACACTACAAACACCACAAAACAAGACAGCAACGTGCAATGTCTGCAAAGCCGCTGTACTGAGAGGAGGAAGCTCTGTCACAACCTGCAATACAACAAACTTAATCAAACCTAGCATCACATTAAACCGTGGTAAAGTTTTACATTGGACATTCGAGCTCCATGGCTTCAGCGGTGTGTTCTTCTCGTTCAGTCCGAAGAAGGCAGTCTGATTTTGGTCAGCTGTGCTCAATCTGTCCCATTCAGTCTGCCCGTCTCAAAGGAGGAGATTATTACAGCCAAATATAAAATCAATGATGATGATGATATCGGAACGAAATTGTTATCGGCCGATATTCAGATTTGGGTATCGGGATTGGATTGTAAGTAAAATAAATAAATAAATAAATAAAATAAAGTGGCTCGGTGCATCCCTAATCAAAGGGATGTCACACAGCTTCACTTCTGCAGCACGGAGCAGAAATGGAAATGGAAAAGGAAATCAGCTGATCAGTTGCAGGAGGGAGCTTTCCCTTCACTTGTGGGCTCTACACATGGTGCAAAATCATTTAAAATTTATTTTAAATAAACAACCCATGGCTCATCCATCAATCAGTCAAATGTCTCATGTCCAATCTTACTTTGAAAACCAGTGATAAACAAAATGTGAAGTAGCGAGGGACTATTGTATTTGTCTTTGAAATGTAGTGGAGTGAACTAAAGTAAAAATACTCAGGAAATGTACTTAAGTACAGTACTCAAGTAAATGTACTTCATTACTGTCCACCACTGGCTGTTACACCAGGTCATGAAGAAAATTGCTCTCTCACTCACCAGGATCTGTCACTCTGAGTTGCCACAGTCAAATAAATAAATAAAAAAAGAATCTACCTCTGTTCTCCACAGTGCGACTCTGCCCCACTTGAACATCTGGCACCATAAACATCAACGTGTTACTTGCATTCTCTGTTTAGTTCCAATCCAGAAAAACATTCTTCTCGAAAACTGTCACTATTCAAATTTCTCAGAGACTCAGGGACTTTGACATACCGCTTGTTCACTTGAGATTGAAACCCACAGATTATTCATCTTCTAGATGATTTTTTTTTCTTTTTTTGGTTTAAATTGGGCATTTCCAGCCTCTAAATGCAATGCACTGACTGTCTTTGTGTTTACAGAAGTATTTTTGGGTCAGTTGATAATCTGATGTAAATCTAATCTGTTTAAAATGTACCAGCAGTCAGGTGAAACTTAACAATTAAATCTCTAGACTCAAATTGCTCCAAAACATGTTATGAGTTCAGCCTGTTACCATGGTGATGATGTAACAAGGTTAAGTTTTTCAGCATGAAATTGTAAACACTTTTCAGCTCAACATGGCAAGCATATAATATTTCTTCATGTTAGTCATTTGGGGAAAAAACACTGCTTTTGGTTTTCAGGATTATTACACAATAATCACAAACCCCATGGATCTGAGCACTATCAAGAGGCGACTGCAGAACAGATATTACTGGGAGGCGATGGAATGTATAAATGACTTCAGCACCATGTTCTCCAACTGCTATATGTACAACCGGGTAAGAAAGTTTATCATGCAGTATTGACACAAATACATTTGTATTGAATGGAGAAACGGCACATCACTTCCTTCTCCTTTGAACAGCCACTTGCTTGGTTAATCCTTAGGTGTAGAAAAAATTTCAGTGAAGATTTTTTGTTTCTGCTTTAATCCCTATTCAGAGCAATGTTGTATTCTTTTTTTCCAATCCGTTTTCTTAGGAAACAGGGGGTCCACCATCAAAGTTGAGGCATTGTTTCCTCCAAAAGGAGGTGGAAATATTGCAGACAGACCACATACTCCACAATATACCTGCTTTTAAAGTGCCAACTTAAAAACGGGTTTAAATATTTACAGTATCTGTAGGAATAACACTTTGTTTTTTGGAAGGATGAGCTTATTTTCCTGTGTTGAGTCTTAAACATATTTGTAACAATATTTTGTGCTATGTTTATTTTGTTTACCTCTGTGTTTGTTCCACAGCCTGGAGATGACATCATTTTTATGGCACAGACCTTGGAAAAGTTTTTTTTACAGAAAATGTCCAAAATGCCAAATGACGAAGAGTTGATGACTACAGTCGCTTCGGTGGAGCCTGGTAAGGTGAAAAAGATAAACTCAGGTGCGTTCAAGATGTGCTCATATTAGAATTTGATGCTTGTATAAAAAAAGAATTGGCACAAATAAATAAATCCAAGTATTTACAACGGAGCTTTAGGGCCACGCTAAGAAAAAAAATTTTAAGCCAAAAAGTTACGAGAATAAAGTCGTACGAGACTTTTTGCAGCTGTCGTATTATTTTTATTGTTTTGTTTTTTTCCACGAGTCGGATTCACAATGCGACCTGTCAATCAATCCAGTAGTCATGTCAGCAAATGACCAATCTGAAGCTACATGAGTCGTAATATTATCCGAACTCTGACACGCAGGGGTGGAAGTAACAAATTATAAATATGTTACTGTAATTAATTAGATTTTTTGGGGTACTTGTACTTTTATGAGTATTTTTCTTTTTTTTTCATTTACCCTTTATTATCCAGGTAGTCTCACTGAGTCACAAGAACTCATGTTCAAGAGAGACCTGTTTAGGAGCAATTGGTGGGAGTTAAGGGCCTTGCTCAGGGGCCCAGAGTGGGGCGAATGAGGGCGGAGGCAGGTGTGGGTGTTTCACCTTTTCCACCCACATTTTGATGTTGACAGTACCGGGAGTTGAACCTGTGACTTTCTCATCGCAGGCCCATCTTGTCTAACCTCTTCACCACCACTCCCCAACCTCTCCCGTTTATTTAAATTGTGTAATTTTACTCATACTTAAGTACTATTTAGACCATGCAATCTACTTTGCTACGTTTAAAATCAGAAGTCGCTTCTAAGACTTTGAAACTTCTTACAGTAAGGTGGTACGCTCTGATGGGCTGCAGCTCAGCTCTCTGCAGGTAAGGAGCATTTAAATTTGGATTGGTCATTTGCTGACATGCCTACTGGATTGAGTGATGGGTCGCGTCGTGGATCAGACTCTTGGAAAAATAAATAAATAAACGAGCTGGAAAAAAAAATTTCTCGTATGACTTTATTCTCATAATATTATGGCTTTTAATTTTTTTCTTTCTTAGCGTGGCCCTAAAGCTCCGTCGTAAAGTATTCCTTTGAAATAAACACACTTTGTCTTTTACAGTACCTTGACAAGTTTCTTAATTCTCGTTCATGGTTTGACTGTTGTTCTCTTGGAAGCAGGTTCAAAAAAGCGGAGCGCTCTTGTGTCAGAAGTTCTTAACCAGATGGTAACGGTCAATCCTCCTGATGTGCCTCACATCAACCCACACACCCAGCTGTCTGCACAAACCAATGCAACAGTAGGATTTATTTTTACTTTGAAGGGAAAACTTTAATATATTCTATATGTCTGCTTAGGTTCTGTTTGCACTATGAGTGAAATAGTTGCTTTTCTGCTGCAGTTCTTCCGTTTGTGTACACGACAACAGCGCTAGTTTCCTCTGAACCCAAAGTAGAAGTTTTTAGAAAACCCCCAGCTGAGGTGTGCAATTGCTGTGCGCTCTACCCGCGGCTGCAGTCAGTGGTTTTCTGTGCTTGTAGGAGCAGCCAAAAAAAAGACAGCAACAGCTAATATGCAGGAGCATCCGAATGTAATCCTCGGTCCAAACAAAAGTTCCCGTATTCACCATTTTGGATATTAACACTTTGTTTCTCATGGTGTCACTGCATGCAGCTCATTGAAGGCCTCGCCACCCCTGCCATCAGTGACGTTGCCCGATAAATATTACCCTTTTAAGACTAAAGCTGACATTTCTAACCCAAGCCCTAAACCCAGCCCCACCCGACCCGAATTTGGGCCGGGCCTTGATAATGTGCTGGATGGGCGGGCCGGGTCGGTGTCTGGCTTTAATTGGGTTAGGATCAGCCGCGATCCAATTATATGATAACATGGCCTGCCATACAATCACAGCCGTACACAGCCATTTCACTGCGAGCTGACCGGCCTTGAAAGAGGTAAAAAGTTCAGTTAAGCTTCAGATGGGATTATACTGCCAGGAAGTGATCCATCGTCCAAATGGACGTTCATTCAGCCGCTGCACTCAGCGGACACGCGCAGCGGACGATCCAAACAGGTGAGATCACAAAGCAGACGTGTGTCAGAGAGCTAGGTGAAGCTGACACCCCACCCATGTCAAAAATTCCAGCCAGAGCTGTCTGCGTGTTTGAGTAATTCAGAAGAATGCAGGCAGAAACGGAGTTTAAATGCGCTTTTACGGCCATGAAAGGACAAACGCCACCTCAGCTCCGATCTTCTGCCCCATTCAGCCGCACGTCTCCAACTGTTAGTTACTAATTAAAAATGTCAGGGTTTTTTCTGTGTTCTGACCTGTAATCACTGTTAATTCATCCGGTCGGATGGGGTTCGGAAATGATGACTGCGGGTTGGGGTCAGGTCGGATCGGATATTTTGTGGCACGTTCACCAATCACAACATACACCTCATCATACAACCTACCGCGTCCAAAAAAGCCTACCTCACTATGCATGTATAATAGTTTTGGGTTAAAAACAATAGTTTTAAAGTAACTGTACGATAGTTCTTAATTTCTTGCCTTGAAACCCTGCCTGGTATTGAAACTACAGCAGATTAATTTAAACATATTTTGTGGTTTATTTCTGTTAATTTTTCCCAACAAACAATGAAACATTTTCAGAGCCTGTTCTCGTGTAAACAGGGCCTTGGGATTTAAAGTGCTGATTTTAGAGACAGTGAAATATGTCAGTTTTGGTTTGTTAGATCAGTAATGAAGTGTTTTTGTTTGTTTGTTTGTTCTGACTTCATAAAAAAGCTCTTGGAATAAACTTTCAGAATTTAAATGCAACTAAACTTTTAAACATAAAAAACAACAGTGGTTAATGGTTAATTTCCTATTCAGATTAAAAAAGGTTTGAAGAGGAAAGCAGACGTTGCCACCCCTACTGGTGGGGGCATTTTGGCACCTTGCACATTGTTCCCCAGGAAAGGGAACAGAAGGCCCATCAGGACTCTTAAGAGGGATTCGCCTGTGTCTGAGGACAAGAGAGTCAGACTGACTGAGCAGCTGAGGTACTGTGAAGGTATCCTCAAGGAGATGCTCTCAAAGAGGCACTATCCATATGCATGGCCCTTTTATGCACCAGTTGATGCAGTTGCTTTGGGTTTGCATGACTACCATGACATCATCAAGCAGCCTATGGACCTGAGCACCATCAGGGTAAAACAGTGTGATGACTCTTATTTACCAGAGAACAAAACATTAGTCAGTCGTTCTGACAAAGATGGTTATTTCTTTAGAAAAAAATGGACCAACGAGAGTATGCAGACGCCAAGGAGTTTGCTGCTGATGTCCAACTGATGTTTTCCAACTGCTACAAGTACAATCCTCCTTCACATGATGTGGTCTGCATGGCAAGAAAACTGCAGGTACTTCCCTGTTTTAGGTTAGTTAAAT